GGTCAGTTTTAGTTGGTTGTTCCATTTTTAATTCAATGTTATCAATTTCTTCTTCAATATCCATCTTTTTTGGTGCAAAGTTCCCCCCAATCTCAACATTACCTTTTACATCGACAATACTTTGAGTAATAACTCTGTTGTCAACTAATTTGTCAAATATGTTGCCACCAACATAGCTACCAATGACCACATGTCCCCTTTGAGTGCTGACTGGAGCCTTGATATCATTCCTTGTAATTAATGCTTGTTCATAAATCTCATCTTTTTCTAGTATTTCTTTAAGGCTGATTGTTTCCTCATGACTATCATTTTCTATTTCGTTGTAGTGTTTAAGAATGTTAGCAATGTAAATATTGCCGCTTGCTTCAATTTTTTCGTTAATGTTAACTGTAATGTTTAATACTTTTTGGTAAGCGTCTTCTAAAAGTTTTTTTCTTTTGATGATTTCAGATTCTAATTCTAACTCTAGCGTTACTAAACCCTCGCAGTCGTTTAAGATGGTTTCAACTTCTTCAGCAAATTCTTCTCCAGCTTTAGTTTCTAGTTGGTCACGAAGTTTTTCGAAGCGTTTACGTAGGCTGACAGAAGGCATCCCTTTTTTTCTTGCTTTGCTATATTCTAAGTAAGAAATAATTGTCCCTCTTAATAGTTCTTTTTCAGGAGCAAAGTGAAGAAAAGCCTGAATTATTTTTTCTTTTTGTTGTTTGATTAGTTTAGTTAGATTAACAATTTCATCTTCTAAGGATTCAATTTTGGCGTTTTCTTCTTTTAAAGCTTTTCAAGTCTGGTAGTCATAGTGTTTGCCTCTTTCGCAGCCTTTTAGTTCTTCAACTAGACTTCCGGTGCATCAAATGTCTTCTAAATTTTCAGGAAGATGTTCTAAACCTGAGTTAATGTTATTGTTAGAGATGTCCAGGACTTTTAGTTTTTTGCAGTTTTTCAAAGATTCTAACCGACCATAAAAAGAATTATCTTGTATCTCTAGTATCTCCAAATTAGTGAGTCTGCTAAAGATATTTAAATTGTGTTGTAAATTATTAAAGCCAATTCGTAAAGTGGTTAATTCCTCGGGGTTTAAACTGTTTAGGAAGTTGCAGTTAGTTAACTGGTTTTTTCAGCAAACAAGCTCCGAAAGTTTGGGACAGTTAAATATAGTTAAGTCAGTAATGTTATTTTCTGAGCAGTCAATTGTCTCTAAATTATAAAAATCTTTGATGATTAAAGAGCCTTCAAGATTTTTATTATAAATCATTATTTCTCTAATTCCTTTTCTTAGTTCGTGTGGGTAAATTAAGTCCAAATATTCTTGTGCAAGCGGATTAACTAGCCAATTATTATATTTCTTTCTGAGTCTGTCTAGGCTATTCTTCACTTTTTCTGGCCTATACTTTTTACTTCTTAAATAGGCCGCCAACTCATATTCCTTTTTTTCTAGGCCCACCCCTAGGTATTTTTTAGCCTCATGGGGAGAAAGAGCAAGATTTTCCCAATCTTGAACTCTTTCGTGTTCGCTCGGCTCAAAACCAGCTTCTATTCATTTCTTACAGTTTTCGTAAGTAAACCCATATTCTTCCTCTCATATTTGTTGATAGTTTTGGCCAGGATATCCCTTAGCAAAATCCGGATGAATGTCTTTTCAATTTCTTTTATATCTGCCTCCGTATTCATCACCAAAATTAAAAGATAAGTCGGCGTTTAACTTCTTAGCAATTTCCCTTGCCTTACTCTCAGGTCTTTCTTTCACTGAGCAATAAATCTCCTGAACATTTTTTGATAAATATTCTAAACCATTGTCTATATCAGTATTCGAAATGTTAATTTCCCTTAGAGAAGATAAGTTATCTAGGGGTTCAAGAGAACCATAAAAGCGATTATAAACATCTTGTCCGATTTTATTTTTATCGTCATTACCAACTCACAAAGATTCTAAATTAAAAAAGCGGCTAAAGCAACTTAAATCTTGTTTAGGTAGATCGTTGGCACTGATATTTAAGTGGGTTAGTTTATCAGAGTTTAGTGACGAATAATTGAACGTGGACAAGTAGTTATCATTACACTCAAGCATCGACAATTGATTTAGTCCCGTCAAGTCTAGGCTAGTTAATTGGTTATAGGAACAAGATAGTTTTTCTAAATTAATAAAATCTCTTAGATCCAAACGACCTTTTAGCTTTTCCCAGTCAGTGCTTTCTTTTTGATTATTCTCGTCTCATCCACTAATGTTTAGGTCAGTAATCGTATTCCTTGTTTCTTTTGGGAAATTCTCATCTAGTCATTCTTGGGCGTTCTTTGTCGAATTTTCACTTTTGCTTCACGGAAAACTAACTTCATAATAGCCGCCTCCTTCTATGTTTTTTCCTAAAGCACAAAGTTTTTTTAAATTTTTTAGGTTTTGTAACTGCCATATTGAGCCAAAAAAGCGATCATTAATACCCTTTTTTACTCTTTTCTCATCAATACTCCCTATTCATAACTCTTCTAATTTAGTAAATCTTGTAAAACAAGATATATTTCTTTCAGACAGGTTATTGTCCTGCAGGTTCAATTTGACCAGTTTTTTTGACTCTCTAGGGAGATTAATATCGGTAAGTAAGTTACTAGAACATTCTATCTCCTCAAGATTAAGTAAATTGTCTAGGTCTAAGTTAATTAAACAATTATTGTAGCAATGAAGTTCCCTCAGTTTTGAGCACTTGTTAACATTTAGGGTAGTAAGTTTATTGTTAGAACAGTTTAATGCTTTTAAATTAACAAATTCTATTAAATTTAATTCTCCTTCTAAGTTGTGATTACTAATATCTAATTCAATTACTTTTTTTCTTTCCTCTTTAAGGTATTTCTGATTAACGTATTTCTGCGCTTTTACCATTATTATTTTTGACTGTTGAACAGGAGATTTAGAGCTTTATCCTATATAATTATTTTACTCGCTCTTATCCATTTGAGTATTTTTATTTTTCATAAAATCTTTAACTTTGCCTAAATATATTTATAAAATTTATTTATTAATTATTAGAATTAGATTTATGCTTAAAATAACAGAAAGACTAAAAGTAAAAATACTAAATGATGGTATTTTAGATACCGATGAATCTTTTCAGAAGGCTCAATGGCTAATTGATATAATTAACAGAGCAGAGTGTGAACATGAGGAAGGCAGAAGTCATCAAATTTTACTTGATGACAAAGAGCTAGAAAGCCTTCAAAGTCCATTTCCTGACAGTGATTTAAAAAAGGCTATTCAGGCCTTGAAAAATGGTGGAGTTGATCTGAATAATTTAGTTGATTATGAAAAAAAGAAACGAGAGACCCAAATTAATAAGGCAAGAACAGATTTAAGCATCGTAGGCGTGAAAGGTAACGTTGAAATGAGAAATTTTTCTCCCTTTGATGATTCACCACGTGACATTGCGAGTTCTTATATTACACAAAGTATTGCAAACGTGGGAGGAAGTGTTAAACTAACCGGTGACTTTGCACCACGGCGACGAACAAAAACAACGTTTACTAACA